GAGCCCCCCGCCACCGCCTCTCCACGCGCGCGGCGTCTTATCTTTGATAACGACAACTGCATCCTCCCCCTCCCCCCCCCTCTCCCCCTCCCCTCCTCCTCCTCCTCCTCCTCTTCCCTCCTCCTCCTCCTCCTCCTCCTCCTCCTCCTCCTCCTCCTCCTCCTCCTCCTCCTCCTCCCCCTTCCCCTCCCCCTCCCCCTGCTCCTTCCCCTAGCCATTCCTGTCGGGAAAGGAGGAGCCCGTGCTATCAGCCGCCAACTTGGTAGTGGCATTGCGGTTGGCGAGCCATCAAGAATGGTGGGTCCCCTGTGTCCGCAGCAGCAGCGCTGGGACAAGGCCTCGCCGAGGCACGCGCGCACGATGACGTCCCCGTTTCTCCCCCGTTTTTTGTCGCCCCCTCTCGCCTCGCCATCAAGGACGCGCGGTGCGGATCACCCTCCAGGCTGAGATCATGTCACCAGATGGTATCAGAATGCCCTGAACGACAATTGCGCAAGAAAAGTAGCGGAGCCCAACGTCAGCAGTTACAAGAGCGGCGACCAGGCGAAGCTAGAGCTCGATGCCAGCAGCGGCAGCGCTGGGGTCAGGGAGAGCGCCGACCAGGCATCCAGCTGCGAACAGCGGGAGGTGAAGTCCGAGCCCAGTGTCATCAGCTACAGCGCTGGCGACGGCGAAGGACGAATGGCGACGACAAAGGACGAGGCCGACGTCGTCAGCTACAATGCAACGACGACGAGCAACGAGCACGAATGCGACGGGACGGCGAAGGACGAGCCCAACCTCGTAAGCTACAGCGCGGCGACGACAAACAGTCATTGCGAGCGTGAGCGATGGGACGGCGAAGGACGGCCCCAATGTCTTGAGTTATAGCGCTGGGATCGGGGCACACCCAACGGCGGTCTCGCGTCACGTGAGAAACGCGAACAGGGGCAGCAGGCTCTGGCATTACTCGACGAGAAGGTGAAGGAGAAGCGAATCATCATTCACAAGCCTGGGATGAGTGTGAGCGAGAAGGCCGAGATCCCATCCTGCGAGAAGCGGGGGGCGAAGCGGGAGCCAAAACGTGTGCGAGAAGCGAGAGGCGAAGCTGGAGCCCAAGGTCGTAGTCTAGTCCGCCGTGCAAAACGTGAGCGGTAATGGCGGGCAGTGGCAGCAGGCTCTTGCATTACTCAACGAGAGGTGGAGGGCGAAACAAAGCCCGACGCCATCAGCGACAGTGCTCAGCTGGAGTCCGAACGGGACGGCGACAACGCTGGGCAAAGCGCGTGCGAGACAGGCGAGCAGTGGAAGCAGGCGCTGTCAATACCCAGCAAGAGCAGCAGTGCGAAGATGGACCCCGATATCATCAGCTATCCGCCGCTACACTGGGAGAAGTAGGAGGCGAGGCTGGAGCCCGAGCTGGGCAGAAACATCGCTGGGAACAGCGTGTGCGATGCGGGTGAGCTAGGGCCGCAGGCTCGGCGCGAGAAGGCAGAGGGGCGGGCGGTTCGGACGCCATCATGCGAGAAGCGGGAGGTGAAGTTAGAACCCGACGCTATCAGCAGCTACGCTGCGCCGCAGGGGGTCGGGCGCGTTCTCCGCCGCAGCGCAGAGACCAGCGCGTGCGAGGACATTTCGGGGATCATGGGGCCGGGAAGGACCTCGGCTGCAGTGCGAGGGTCGGGTCGCGCGAGGGCCAGGGCAGTGGCAGCAGGCTCTGCTGCCGCGGGGGCCCGACGAGCCGTTCTGGGCTACAGTGCCGGGATCAGCTCGTGGGAGAATGTGCGAGAGAAGTGCAAGAAATTTGCTTGCGCGGCGCGGGGGCGGCCCGACGCGGCCAGCCGACCCGCGGCGCGAATCCATGGGGCCTCGCGAGCCGTCTGACGCGCTGAACTCCACTGAACTCCTCTTTCCCCTCCCTCCTCCCCATCACTATCGAAGACGGCTACGGCTAATCACCGCCGGCCCCTGCCTTTTGGAATCGCCCATGTGTGGCCGTGCGTTGCGGCAAGAGCTCTGCCACGCTATCGGACCGTGTGTTCCCACAGCCGTCGTGGAAACCCATCGGGGAACCTTTAGGGAAGGATGGCGGGGAAAACCTGAAGGAGGAAGAAGCAGGAGCATATTGGGAGCCTCTGAGGGCTCTCTTGGGGCCTCCTGGGTGCTTCCTGAGAGCCTCTTGGAGGCATCTTGGGGGCCTCCTTGGGCCTCTTGGGGGCCTTGGTGGGCTTCTCGGGAGCTTTTTTGTCAGTCTTACGGCATTCCTGGCCCGTCTGACGGCGTCGGAAGCCGTTTTGGAGGCCTTTGGGCCGATTTGGGGCCCTCTTGGCGTGTTCCAGGGCCGTTTCGGAGGCCACTTTGGGCGTTTGGGAGGCTTCTTGGGTCGTCTTGGGGCTCTTTTGGGGCTGCTTGGGGCCCTCGTGGGCCGTTCTGGGACCATCTTGGAGGCCTCTTGTGCGATCTTTGGGGGCTCCTGGATCATTTCAGGCCGTCGGAAGGCCGAAGAAAAGCAAATGCTAAAGTCCTTCAAAAACCAATGGAACAGCAATGATGTTGGCCTCTCCGTGCCTTCCTGGAGGCCCTCTTGGATGCCTCTTGGGCCGTCTTGGAGACCTCTTGGGGGCCTCTTGAGCCACCATGGGCCATCTTGGCTTGGGCCGTCTTGATGTGCTCCTGGCCCGTCGGACGCCGTCGGAAGCCGTCTTGGGGGTATCTCTGGGCCGATTTGGGGCCTTCTTGGCGTGCTCCAGGGCTGTCTTGGAGGCCATCTTGGACGGCTTGCAGGCCTCGTGGATCGTCTTGGGGCCGTCTTGGGGACCTCTTGGGCCTTTCTGGGGCCATTTGGGAGTCCTCTTGGGCGGTCTTGGGGCGATCTTTGGGGGCTGTTGGGCCGTCTCGGGCCGTCGGAAGACCGAAAAGACAAATGCCAAAATCGGTTCCCAACATGGAAAATTTATGATTTGGGCCTCTTCGGGTCTTCCTGGAGAACCTCTTGGAGGCCTCTTGGGCCGTCTTGGAGGCCTCTTGGGGGCGTTTCGGAGCGTCTTGGGCCATCTTGGAGCCAGCTTGGGCCGTCTTGGAGGCTTCGTGTGCGAACTCGGAGGCCTCTCGGACTCTGTCGGGCCGTCTTGGAGGCCATCGTGGACCATCTCGGGCGAACTTGGGAGCCATCTTTCCCTGTTGGAGGCAATCTCGAGCCGTCTTCGGGAATTTTTTGCGGACGTTGAGATTGTTTCTGGTCCCTTCGGGTGGCCGGCGGGACGGGCCGAAATCACAGGGAGAGCTCTTTTTAGGACAAAAACAAAACCAAATTGCATAGGGTTTAGCACGCCAGGCCCCCCTGTGGCAAAACCACAAGGGGGCGGCAGATCGTATGGCCTTCGGCCCATCCCGCCACCGCGCCTGGTTGTGGGTATGAAGCCTATTGGATGGTCGGTAGGATCTCGTGGGAGGCTTCTCGGGGGCCTCTTGGAGGTAGTTTTGAGGCCTCTTGGGGGCTGTTTGGGGGACTCGTGGTGCGTCTTTGGGCCCTCTTGGGGACCTCTTGGGGGCCTCTGGGAGCGTCCTGGACGCCCTTTGGGGCCTCCTGGAAGCCTCTTGGGGCGGAAGGCCCGGATGTTCCCTCTTTTGGTCCCTTCTGGGGCCCCTTCGGGGCCTTCTTGGGCCGTGTTGGGCGCCTCCTCGACTGTCTTGGGGCCCTTTTGGTCCGTTTTGGGACCCTCTTGGGCCGTCTTGTGGCGGTCTTGGGGTCCTCTGGGGCCGTCTGGGAGCGTCGGGGAGCCGAAATGGCGAGAACGCCAAAATCCGTCAAAACCTCAGGACAAGTAATGATTTTGGCCCCCGGGGACGTATGAGGGCCAGCTTGAGCATCCTGGGGCGGACGTTCGGCGACTCGGGGCCTTCTTGGGGGCCCCTTGGGGCCCTCTTGGCCCGTCTTGGGTTCCTCTTGGGCCCGAACAAATCATGCGGGGAAGCTCGGAGAACCCCGGTGGAGCCGCGGCAAGCCCCGTGAGATTTGGTAATTTGGGCTCCGGGGCCCTCGAAGACTTCCCAGGACTGAAGGCTGAGGCTCTGGGGATTGGGCAAAGGACTTGAGGACACGCCCACTCCTTGCCCAGAGGCACGGTGGCGGACTCCCCCATCCCTGCTCGCCCCTCCCTCCCTCCCCTGCTCCCCCTCCCTCCCCTCCTCTCATGCTTGCCCTCCCTCCCTACCTCTCCTCCTCTCCTGCTCGCCCCTACCTCCCTCCCCTGCTCCCCCTCCCTCTTTTCCTCCTCCTCCTCCTCCTCCTCCTCCTCCTCCCCTCCTCCTCCTCCTCCTCCTCCTCCTCCTCTTCCTCCTCTTCCTCCTCCTCCTCCTCCATTTTCTTCGCCTTAAATAGAAAACTCCTCCCTCCTCCTTGCCGCACACCGAGGGCGGTCGACGGGGCGGGCCGGGCGTTTCGCCTGAGACTTCTTGACACTTTACGACCCTGATGCTCAAAGGGTGATAACAGCTTCACGTGTGGAGGGCGGATCGTGCTCAAAATATGGCTCTCGCGTTAGAGCCGCGCACATGTGCATTTCAAGAGCGTGGAAGAGGTTCACGGATCGAGGGCGGGTCGTGCTCAACAGGTGGCTCTCGCTTTAGCGCCGCGCACATTCATTCGTTTCAAATTGCAAGAGCTTCACAGATGGAGGGCGCGCCGTTTTGAACATGTGGTTCTCGCCTGAGCGCCGCGCACACTCGTTTCAACAAATTGCAAGAGCTTCACGGATTGAGGGCGGCTCGTTTTCAGAATGCGGTTTTTTCGCCTTAGCACCGCGCGCATTTGTTTTAAACATGTGCGAGAGCTTCACGGATTGAGGGCGGCTCTTTTTCAAATTGTGGTTCTCGCCTTAGTCCCGCGCACATTCGTTCTAAACATGTGCAAGAGTTACAAGGATCCTCATGGTGAACGTACCTGAAAGTGTGTTCTGGAGCGATTTAAGATGTCAGGGCGCGACAGTTACGTTGATTCGCGGTGTTGAAGTCCCAGGAAT